TGTATGAACTTCCTCATGTTTAAAAATAACTGACTTCACAGATTTGGGTAATACACCCCCATTGTCTTTCTAGGTTGGTGCTAAATCAAGAAATATTGGATATCTGAAAGGAAAAGTTCCTTCTTGGGTGGGTATCCCAACTTCAGTTGCGTTGCCATTTGGTGTTTTTGAGAAGGTTATCTCCGACAAGGCAAATGAGGTAGGATAGTAGACACTCTCAACTCATTCTGGCTAAAAACATTTATGAAGACACTTTACTGAAATTTGCTACCCGTATGGTTTATCTGTTCGTTACTGGTGGCATTCATCTGGATATATTAGAGTATAGAGTTCCAATGCTCCTCTAGGATTTCTATGAAATTGTTTAGAACATACCTTTCATGACTATCCTGAAGTTATTGCTGTCAAAACCAATATATCTTGAGACTTTGCTTTTCCATGATTACTTTCACCATACCTCACTTTCCACTGACTCTCTCTCCTTCTGAATGTGGCAGACGGTGAATGAGAAATTGCTAGTATTGAAGAAAACTCTTGATGGGGGGGACCAAGGTGCTCTGAAGGAAATTCGTGAGACATTGTTGGGGCTAGTTGCACCTGCAGAACTGGTATGTTCATATTGTTTGTCGTTAGAACCTTGAGACACAACACTAATCTGGGCTGCGGTTGTTTATTTTCACAACACATGTTGTTAGCCACAATGAATTTCACATTTGGACCCTAAACTCTGTTCTTTGAACTGGATCCTTACCAGCAAACCATTTTGCTTTTAGTTTATGCATATTGCTGTGGATTAGCTTGATGCCTATGATTCTAAGAGTGCATTTTTCGGAAAAGCTGAAATTTCCTTTGTGAGATTGAGTGAAATATACAGAATTGCTAAGATAAGTGCCTATGTAATGGTTCTGGTGCTCAGGTTGAAGAACTGAAAAGTACTATGAAAAGTTCTGACATGCCGTGGCCGGGTGATGAAGGTGAAAAGAGATGGGAGCAAGCTTGGGCAGCCATTAAAAAGGTAAAATCTTGAGTATAAGGGGCATTGGTGCTTAACATGAAGATGTCAAAATCTCACTAACCAGCTATCTAAATTTCAGGTTTGGGCTTCGAAATGGAATGAGAGAGCATACTTCAGCACGAGAAAAGTAAAACTGGATCATGACTATCTCTGCATGGCTGTTTTGGTCCAAGAAGTCATCAATGCGGATTACGCATTTGTTATTCACACAACTAACCCATCTTCTGGAGATTCATCAGAAATTTACGCTGAGGTAAAAGATCCTCTACTCCCCCTTCATTCCAACTTATACCCCTTATGAACGGGTGCTTCTTCCAACTACACCTCACTGTTGTTTTTCGGTTTCAGGTTGTCAAAGGCCTTGGTGAAACTCTTGTAGGAGCATATCCTGGTCGGTCTTTGAGTTTCATCAGCAAGAAAGACAACCTCGATTCGCCTCTGGTACTAAAGCTAACCATTGGTGTATTATGAGTAGAAATACTGGTATAGGATATTTTCAACCCCGCTGATGAAATTTAAAACATCATTCAGGTGTTGGGTTACCCAAGCAAACCAATCGGGCTGTTCATAAGAAGTTCAATCATCTTCAGATCTGACTCCAACGGAGAAGATCTCGAAGGTTATGCAGGTGCAGGCCTCTATGACAGGTAATATAAACAGACTCACTAAACCTCTTGTCGTTTTCTTGATCTCATCATTTAACAAGGAAAACATGGCCTTCCTTTTCTTTTTGCAGTGTACCAATGGACGAGGAAGACAAAGTCGTGCTAGATTACACAACAGATCCCTTGATCAATGACGAGAGCTTCCAGAAAAAGATTCTCTCAGACATCGCACGTGCCGGAGATGCCATTGAGAAACTCTATGGGACTGCACAGGACATCGAAGGTGTGATCAGAGACGGGAAGCTCTATGTCGTCCAGACAAGACCACAAGTTTGATCAAATTTTCCGACCACTTCTCAATGTACACGTTACATTTTCTGTCCAGTAAACTTCTTATTTGCTCTCTAAGCAAAGAGTATAAAAGCATAAGCGTATAGTCGATTACATAATGTGTAGTACAAAAACTATTGGCATTACGATTAAGATATAAATAAAGAAGTGTTATTTAGAGTTGGAAACTTCTCCAGCTATTGCTTCTTGAAGTTGAGTGCAACTTAAAACTGTTTAGCTTTTGTAAATTAGTATAATTCAAACTGTTTTTTGTTTTCTGTATATAATTTGTCAAACACTCAAAACTGTATTTGGAATTCTAATTACAAGTTAGGACTACAGGGTAAAAATTGCAATAAAACTCTATCTATCAATAAATATGAGGTTTCCGTTTTCCCGAATGATTGTGGTTTGAGGGTTTAACACGCCCTTAATTTGGCAAAATACACGAACTAAGATGCAATTGAAGATGATTCTTTTTGTTGCTATGTTAAGTTAACAGCCAAATGATACATGTCACTTCTTCATCCACCACTCTCTTTGACTTTATTTTCTAAATATCTTTCTCAGTGTTTTGGTTTGTACTAATTTAATATTTTGTATAGGAATCTCGCAGAGATGACCTTCTCTGAAGCCAACCACCACACCATTATATATTGTTCAGTGTTAACAAAAATGCATAGCGACCGACATTTAATGCACACAAATTTCGGATGCGTGTATGATAATAGAAATCACAATAATACACTCAAAGATAACACAAAACCAGTTTGGACCATATTATATGATCCAACCATTCAATAATGGCATCCAATTTTGTAAGTAAGAATCATATGTAATTTTATCTCTATACCGATATCGTCGAAGATTCTCGACGCATTATTTGTAAGACATCAATATGCATGCAGAATAAAAGTAATCATATACTTGAAAAATTGTGCTATTTACGAAAAATATACGGTAATGAGGTAGCTTTGACATTTACGCGAAATAAACCAATGATTAGAATGAATTATCGATTTTCGTAGTCAAATGCTTAGTTAACAAGTTTAAGGTTGTTTTTCTTCTTTTAAGAATTCACTAATAGTGGAAATGTGAAAGAATATATCTTTAACCCATGACTTGGTGCATGGATTAGGGTTTTTTTTTTTTTTAAATATGATTACGAGTTTTAAATCTCTAGGCATATACTGTACGCAACATATAATATTATGAATGTTTGTAATTGGTTGAATAAAAACTTATTATATACAGTATGGCTTATTGATTATTCATTATGGACGGAGGGTAATTGTGTTCGTCCATGTTAGACACAATTAAAGATGATTGTCTATCATGAAAATGTGATAGACAAAACTCTATATACGTATTCAGATCTAAATAATACTACCTTTTAATGCTATTTAGATTTAGAATATTAATGAAATAACCAAGAGAGAGCAAGAAGTAATAATGATAATTGGTGCTTGGTGGTGTGAATGAATAATATATAAGGATGGCATGGCATGCATGGAATGGGTCCCCAACCCCAACAACATACGCACTCGATAGCTTGCATTTGCTAAATATACCCAGCAGCGCATGCCCATGCATGTCCCTAATACAAAACTACTTAAGTGTACATATGTATAAATATGATCTATAAACTATTTCTGCATGCGCATTACATATGTTGTATTGAGCAACGTGTACTTACTAGTTACACCAACGTTACTAAACAAAAACAAAAAGGGTTTAATTAGTTGTATCAAATTTGGTTTCCCATTTTCTAAAATATTTTTGACAAAATAAACAGTTTGAAAAAATAAGGAAAAAAATAGTATTGAATGATAGATAGAAGATTACAAGTTTTAAAATAATATGATGATGGAAAAAATAATAGAGAATATATTATGGTTTGTAAAAGAAAAGGAAAAGGAGGGAGTAGCTGACAGAAGGAACATATAGGGAAGAGGGAAAAGAGAAAAAGCGAAATTCAAGAATCAACAATAATAAAAAGAAAATGTAAATTATTTTACAAATTCCTTTCTTTTGTCTCTAAAAGATACAGAAAATGTTTTTTTTATCCCTAACGAAAAGACTCAAAGTGAACACAGTATAACAAGAAGAAGAAGAAGAAGAAGAAGAGAGAACACATAATTTTGACTGTCATTATCACAAGGAACACATCAAACACAAGACTTTCTTTAATCTTATATTCACAAACATACAAAAATGTTTCAGGCTTTGTATTGCTAATTGGGAACACTTCACCTCCCCCAAACTTCCCTTTTTTTTTTATCTCTTTTGACCATGATTTAAAAAAAAAAAAAATAGTGATTTTTTTTTCTCTCTTCATTTTTTAGAGTTGACAACTATCATCTAGTAAGATATTGTATTTAGGATTCATGCTGTGTTTACTCTTTTGATAATTTCTCGTTAGTAATATACTAATATTTATAACGAAAAATTAGATTCATAGCATCAATCCCACGGATAGAAACTAAGGCTTGAGGTCTAATATTTGGGTATGGTCCATCTACATTATATTGTTACTGTCATAGAATTGACCTCTTAACAGATTTTAGGATAGTTTGAGTTACATTGTCCAAAATTTCTTGTCCATCTACGTTGTTACATACTGTCATAGAATTGACCTTTTAACAGATTCATAAAACTTAAAAGAGGTTAACATTCTTAAGCTGTCTACATATTAGGTAGATAATGTCTGGTCCTAGCTAAGATTGTGTTAAGGTAACCTTCTTAATTCTAATGAGGAGGAAGTATGCAAACTCATTTTCTTTAAGCAATGGAGCAACAACAACAACAACAAAAAAGAGAAAAGCATCGTTGTAGTTAGATTTTGCTTAGTCACTTTATGTCAGTGGGCTTTTATGATTTTGTCATTTTTATCACATCTTTGGTTTCTCTGTATCCTTGGATGATGTTAAAGTAAACAAAGACATGAATGATTTTATCACTACTCCAAGTACTTATAACACCAACACAAACACACATTTATTTAGACTAGTATATTACTTTAAGATGCCACAATTCCATAAAACCTTTTTTTTACTCTATCTCTCTCTCTCTCTCTCTCCCTCTCTCTCTATTTCTTGCTACACATAAAGACCCCAAGAAGACAATAAGAGTGTTTCTTGATTCTTTATTTGGGGTTTGAGATGAAGAGATCTATCTTCAATGGCTTTGGAAATGGTGAGAGCTTGAGGAGATTATAATAAAAAATCAAGGGTTGTTTTTTTGTCTTCTTTTGCTCACTTTCTCATTCTTTAATATCAAAGAAAACGTTTTGGGTATTGATGGGAGGAGTGTTCGTGTTGAGGAAACCCAGAAACGGCAATAAATGCCGTCGTTTCGATCGATGCAATACAATGAGACAAAGGGAAACAGAGTTGTTCTCAGAAGAAACAAGAATGATAACAAGAGAAAGAAGACGAGTAAGAAGAAGAAGAAGAAAAAGCTTCTTCTTAGATATGATCCTTTTGTTCCGTACATGTTCTTCTAACATTCTTTTCCTCTCTCTTCTTCTCTTGTCTTCTTCTTCCTCTGTCTTTTCCAATAATCTCTCACCGAGAAACCAAACTCTCCGGCCACTGGAGGAACTTAATAAGCTCAAATCCATTCATCAACATCTCGGGAAGATCAATAAACCTGCCGTCAAGACGATTCATGTAAGTGAGATGAGATTTATCGTATGCAATCTTCTTTTTTCAGAAACACAACCTCCTTCTTCCTCCACCCTTGTTTATATTTTCATTTACTCTGTCTCATAAAAATAAAAACACTTTCGTACTCTGTTTCTAATACTTTGTGCTCTGTTTCAAGAAGTCGCCCTGTTTCTGATTCTTGCTGCTCTGTTTCAGAAACACACACGTTCTTTTCTTCCTCTTCTGTTTCTCGGATACTTCGTTTCACATCACTCTTCTTCTTCCTCTTATTGTGTTTCTGATTCGTTGTCCTCTCTTTCCTGGACACTCTTTTTTTTTCTTACTCTATTGTCTGATTCATGGTCCCCTTATTGTTGCAGAGCCCTGACGGTGACATCATAGACTGTGTTTTATCACATCACCAACCAGCATTTGATCATCCCAGATTAAGAGGACAGAGGCCACTGGTACGCATACCATTTGCTAGATCTTAATCATACAGTCATTAGACCCTTTTAATGATATGATGAACTAATTTGTAAGCTGTGAACTTAAAATTACTGAAGGATCCTCCAGAGAGGCCAAGAGGGCATAACAGGAGAGGATTGAGACCAAAGAGCTTCCAGTTATGGGGAATGGAGGGAGAGACATGTGATGAAGGAACAGTCCCTATCAGGAGAACAAAAGCAGAAGACATTCTCAGAGCTAACTCTGTTTCTAGCTTTGGCAAGAAACTCAGACATTTCAGAAGAGACACTAGCAGTAATGGCCATGAAGTAAGATTTTTGTCTCCTTTTTTTTTCCAAGTTAAAAAAATTATATCATTTTTAAGAAACTAAATTGAAGAACATTTAGTCATATGGGTTTAATTTGAAAATATAAAAATATATTTTTTACCAAGAAAATTTAAATACATCTTTGGTCCTCTGACTAAACAAAAGATAGATCTTTGGTCCACCTATTCTATAAGCAAACTTCTAAAGAGAAAGATTTTTATGTCTGTTTATAAAATTTGAATTCTTGGTATGAAAAATGTTTTTTTTTTTGGGTAAACGGTATGAAAAATGTTTAAGGTATTTTGAAATGGATGGAATTTTTATTTATTTACTATCTTTGGACTAGAAGAAAAAAAGAAAAAAGTGGTCAACGAAATTGGCAAGTGTTTTCACTTACTTTTTTAAAAAATTATTTCATCTTTTTAGAATTGTAGGAAGAAAAAAAAAGGTAGATAAGCTTGTCGGTAAAAGCACCAAAGAAAAATGTATTTGATTAACTGACCAATCACCTTCTACATTCTGTCACCAAATTTTATTGTTTTCCCAACTAATAATAGCAATTACAATATAAAATACTTAGTTATATCTAAAATTTGGAAAACACAAACTCTCAAGAAGATACAGAGCACTCTGCCAAGTTTCTACAATACCCCATTTTATTACTAGTAAATATTCAACACAACCTGCGTAAACAATGAGATAACACTTTTGATTATACTCTTTTATCTTACTGTCCCTCTAAAATTAATAATATTATATCGGTTGGTAATATAGCACGCGGTGGGATACGTGAGCGGAGAGAAATACTATGGTGCAAAAGCAAGCATAAACGTGTGGGCACCCCAAGTTCAGAACCAATACGAATTTAGCTTATCTCAGATTTGGATCATCTCTGGTTCCTTTGGTAATGATCTCAATACCATTGAAGCTGGCTGGCAGGTACCCTTTTAATTATGTATTTACTATCATCAACCCATTTAATATGTTTTCATTAGTTGCTAATTGTGGATTTATAATCATCTGCCATTAGGTGAGTCCAGAGCTCTATGGAGATAACTACCCAAGATTCTTTACTTATTGGACTGTAAGTAACTCCAACGCAAACCACCCCTTCATGCATCTTGTATTTATATTGTATATTATAGTATAAGTTTTATAATTCATATGTTTTTGGAGTACAGAACGATGCATATCAAGCAACTGGTTGCTACAATCTCTTGTGTTCCGGTTTTGTCCAAACCAATAGTGAGATTGCGATTGGAGCTGCAATATCTCCCTCATCTTCATACAAGGGTGGACAGTTCGATATTACTCTCCTTATTTGGAAGGTACCGACACTTGAACTTATAAATATTATTCACTATTAAATTTTCTACCTTGAAAAAATGGGTTTACAGTACACAGGAAAGAAAATATATATATATACACTGCATATGCTTTAATTAGAAGATGCTCTCTATCTTTTCTCTTTTTATCATTTTAAGAGAAAACAAAAAGAGAAGTATACTTGAGTATCATACCCACTTATTACAACTCCTTTACTTTTGCTCTAAGTTATTCTTCTCTTTATTTATTTTTGTTCCATTCTTTGATACATTTGTCCCCAAATAGTTCAACATACTGACTGACTCTCAAAGCAATGCTATGAGCATGGCTCCTCATGAGTTTATCATATTAATACTAACTATTTATTTTCTCTAGCTAGTCTCACATGGTGTCATAATTAAAGGCATACTTATTAGTTTCTTCTTTTATAGTATATTTTCAGGCAACACATCTATTCTATATTATTAGGTGCATTATTTTTAAATCGTCACTGAATGCGCATGTACGTGTGTGTTTTCAACTAATACATTAGTATACACTGTATGTTTGATTAATATACAGGATCCGAAACATGGGAATTGGTGGCTAGAATTCGGGTCGGGTATTCTAGTCGGGTATTGGCCATCGTTCTTGTTCACACACCTGAAGGAGCACGCGAGCATGGTCCAATACGGTGGCGAAGTCGTGAATTCGAGTCCTTTTGGGGCTCATACTTCAACACAGATGGGAAGTGGACATTTTGCAGAGGAAGGGTTCACGAAATCTTCATATTTCAGAAACATCCAAGTAGTTGACTGGGATAACAATTTGGTCCCTTCTCCGAATCTCAAAGTACTTGCGGATCATCCCAATTGTTACGATATTCAAGGTGGTTCTAACCGGGCTTGGGGGAGTTATTTTTATTACGGAGGACCAGGCAAGAATCCTAAATGCCCTTAAAATACAAATATTTGATTAGGGTTAATTAGGGATTCATTTCATTTCTTTGAAAATTTAATGGTACTGTTCTAGGTTATAAGAGCTATTTGCATCATTTATTAGTTTTTTTTTTTTGGGTGGTTATGACCATTTATGTGTAAATGTGAAAAAGTATATTGGAGAGGAAATGTACAAGTTATATATTCTAAAAATCAAACTGTGAGTGCCACATGTTGTTATACTTTATATTGTCTAGCTATTGTTTCACTCTAAATTGAAAATGAATCCAACATATTTATTACTTGTTTTATATAAGAGAAAGCAACAATGAAGAAATCAAATATGTAATCAATAGATCATAATTAGTTAATTACAAGATCATCTCTAATTAATTACAGTGTATGCTTATTCCTATGGTAACCATGTTTATGTATTATGATCAACAAACCCTACCGCGAGCTGTAATGAAAGCAGATATGATTTTTACATTGTTAAAATTTACATTTTATGTCATTCAGTGTTAAGCATATATATGTATATATCACATTAAATAATAAATAGGATGCAGATCGTGTTCTTATTCTGATGAAAGTAAATAGTAATATAATAAGAGGTTGTACAATGAAGGTTATGCCTGGTAGTAACTCAGTTTGTTAAGGGTTTGTAAAGTGAGGAGGACAATGGGTGTTACAATAGAATTGGTCTTCCCAACAATCATCTTTTGCTGATGGGCAGCAATAGCAGTCTTTTTTAATAGCATGCTTGCAACTTGAATGGACACATGGCGGTACCCAGATTTTGTTTTTCGACCTTTCAATCTCTCTAACATCCATCCTTGTACCTACACAATTGATTTGAAACACACATTAAGCCAATATCCATGAAGACGAAATAGTTTAAAAGAGACAATGTTTATACATGCATATACATACATTCATATAGTGCAAAGAGAGAGAGCATGAGTACGCAAATGAGAAACGTATGTGATGATTTCATGGTTTTGGTTATGTCTAATGGATATTGTATTTGGAGTTTCTCAATTATTTATTTGAGTGGTTGTAAGATGCAAAGCTTAACTGATTCATATATATATATATATGCTTAAATTAGAAACGCCAATATTTAAAGAAAAATATATTCTTAAAACATTCTTATGATTATTCTCTTGATTTTTTTCTTATTCAAATGCACAACGTTATTTTTATTTTATATATATATAGAATGTAATATTGAAATGAAAACCATTAATTCTTCCATATATTATTCATCATCTTACAAAAGTTAAAGTATATACTGGCATTAATTATTATTTAAAGTACTCAAGTGATTTACTTCCTAAACATCGGTGCAAATCTTCTATATATTAATATCTAGAGTTGATAAAGAAAACAAAATTGTATATTATTTTTTGGGATCACGTTTGTTTTTTTACATAGAATTATATCAGTTTGTAGCAAATCTTTGTAAAATTAATGCAATCAAATTCATACAATAAAGAAAATTAAGATAATTATATGGAATGTTCTTATTTTAATTGAAGCAAATAGTAACGAAATGAGAAGTATAGTGCAATTCAGGATTACAATAATGCATCGTCGTACTCGTAATTAATCGGGTTTGTTAAACGGAAGAACTTAGGATGAGGGACAATGAGTGTTGCAATTTCATAGCATTATTCTATGTTTGATCCGCAACAATAACAGTACTTTCTTTTAAGACTGAATTAATTTATGATCGCAGTAAACATGCATGAAAACATGTCGGTACATGGATTTTGTGAAACGAATGATTTCATAATATACAGACGTCAGGTTATAAATCTTTATTATTATAGATTTACATACTGATTGAATAAAAACTTTTTCCAAGATTATGAAACAAAATTCATATTTCCATATGACAAAATCTCTCTATACATCTATATAAAAGAACAAGATATGTGTACGTAGACAAGTCAACGTCTCTCATAAATAGTTATATAGATTATTCTTATAGGATTGATTAAAGCACTGTCGATCATGTGAATAAAACCTTATTATATATTCGTAAAAAGCATAGAGGTGCACATTAATTTTCTAAGAGTGTAAACTTGAGAGGAGTACAACGGGGGCTGGAATCGCATGCTTTTTGGGTAAAGAAACAAATGTTTAGGTCACGAAAACAACACCAACAATTCCGTTTGAAAAAACCTTCTTTACCACATTGGGCAGGAACACAATTTGGTATAGTGAGCTTGCTCCTCCCGCTCTCTATTCCTCCTCTAACATCGTCCACCTCCTGTATGCCTACACATTTGTAACCACTACATCATTCATTCACTATACTATAAACTAAAACACAAAGAGAGAGAGAGAGATCAGAGATTCAGAGAGAGAGAGTTGTTAAAACATACATTGATGTAGAACAAAGAAGGAGAACATGAATATGAAGAATAAAACTGTTTGTGACTTCATCGTTTGTTTTAATCTGTCTTAGACAAGAGTTTTATGATTGTCTTAATGCAATACAGTGTGTGATTAATATTTTACAGCTAGTCACATACATATATATTGTTCATCATATTTTTTAGAAAAGGTAACGTAAATATTGACATTCAGTATTATCTAAACTAGTCAACAAGTCAAACTGATTTCAGATTTACCAAAATTGAACGTACTATATAGAGTTTGCCAAGTGTCGTCTACTGATTTGTCAAATAGTAGTCAAAAACTTTCGTTTCTTGGCAAAGCGTAGTCAACGACTGTAGAATCTAGATTTTCCAAATTCATGTCATCTATATATATATATACTTTAACATTGAAGTGAAAAATACTTTTTTTTTTAAATGAAAACTATTCTATAAATATATTGTAAATCATCTTAAAAGGTCAAGTGCAGCCAAGGCCAAGAGCAAGCAGGAGTGTTAGTAAATAAGTTATATATTATCACTAATATATTTACCAATATATTATCTGTATATAGTCTATATATAATTGACAAGGAAAACAAAGATATAAATTTATATTGTTACAAATTTACATTTTATGTCATACATTTTTTATCTTGCTATATTTTCATACATACAGAGATCAAATATATATATATATGTATATAAATCGAATTAATAATTATTATCTGGTACTCAATAAATGGTGAAAAATCTCTCTTATAGTACATGAAAAATAGATATTATATAATTTTAGCATACACATTTTTTTTTTTTTGATAATCGAATGATTTCATTTCATAGATGTGAGAGTTGCACATTAATTTTCTAAGGGTGTAAACTTAACAGGAGGACAACGGGGGCTGGAATTGCATGATTTTTGGTGATGGAAACAAATGTTTAGCCTATGAAAACAACACCAACAATCCCATTTGAAGAAAGTTTCTCCGCATTGGGCAGGAACACAGTTTGGTATAAAGAGCTTGCTCCCGCTCTCTGCTCCTCTAACATCCACCTGCTCCATGCCTACGTACCACACATCGTTAGTATATTAGCCAAAACATCATTGACTGACAACTTTAAACGAAAACAAAGAAAGAGATAGAGAGTTCTTAATCTGTATATGAAAATACTTTAAATTAAACATACATTGATGTAGAGCAAAGATGGAGAACATGAATATGAAGAATAAAACTGTTTGTGACTTCATCGTTTGTTTTCTTTTTGTCTTAGACAATAGTTTTACGATTTTGTTTCTCTGGTTTAATTGTCTTAATGCAATACAGTATGTGCCTTTTATTTTATAGCTAGGCACATACATACAGTATATATATTGTGGGTTTATCATCTTTAAAAAAGGTAACGTAAGTATTGTCAATTTGTCATTAATTATTATCTAAACTAGTCAACAAGTCACACTTATTTCAGTTTTACCAAAATTGAATTAGAGAGTTTGCCAAGTGTCGTCTCCTGAATTATCAAATAGTACTGACTTTTTATATATGTTGACTTTCTTTCAGTATTAACTAGCGTTTCTTTGGCAAATTTTAGTTATTTTGGCCATAATCTAAGGTTAATAAGTACTAAATTGATACCCTTAAGATATTATATATGCCTTTAGTTTAAGTTATGATATGAACACAGAAAAGAAAAATGACTTTTCTAACTTGTTTTTAATTGTATATTTGTATGTGTTATCTTTTCTGTATTGAAAAATCTATTCTTTTCGACATGTTAATAATTTACCTAAGATACATCTTTTTCGTTAGATAAATAAATCAGTTAGTTTCATATTACTATACCATATGATCAGTTAGCATCATATTAGACAATATCATCCGGAAGCACTTGTTGAAATTTATCAAGGAAAACGAATCTACAACGGATTATGATGAACACATTGTAACTTGTTTTTATCTTGTTCGTTGAGCTTTAAGGACCAATTTCAATGATTTTGGCCACTAGCTACAGTGTTATATAAAAAAATACTCCAGTTTCCATACCTTATTTAAATTCACAATTTTTCTATTTCGGTATTGGGAACTGGAGGTAGAACACCGGCCTTATTGTATAAGCCAGCCATATACATTACTGTATAAGGTAGCAAAGCTAGTGGAAACCACACAAATCTTTATAATGCACTTGACCGGCTTTTGCAATATCTCAAGATTAGTCTAATACCCGCTATTAATACTAAAAAGAAAATTTAGGCTATCCGAAAAAGAAAAAAAAAGACAAGAATATGAAAGCATTTATGAAATATCAAGTAGTAGTCCACGTCTGCATCGCTATTATTCTACAAACTCATAATATTTTCTTGGACGACAATGGTTTCTTGCTTTCCTAAAAAGGAAAAGAAAAATTTGGATACATATTACCAATACCTTTACCAAGTGGCCATTTTTGGTATTTTCGAATTGAAAGTACCAATCAACAAATTATAATAAGAGAAGGATTATTATTAAAAAAATGACAATGTGAAAGAAACTGATAGCCATGTGCATTAGTTCCTCTCCCAATTAATTCCACAATACACACAAAAGAGTCCAAAATGATCTCTATAACCTTCCACTGTTCCACATGGTGCTGCATTTCTTTCCACGCAAACAAAATATTGTTGTGAGAGCTTCATGCATGAAATTGTTGTATCATAGTTATTAGTCAACAACAAACGTATATTTGTAAATTTACGTTTTGCATGCTTTACTCTTTAGAGTATATATCTATATTTTTATAATACCATTCCATAAATAGATCTTCGAACACGTATCCATATTCTACGTAAGTTGCTTTCCGAGTAGTAATTAGAGTAAACACACATGTTATTTAAAAAAAAAACTAGTAATGGAAATAAAGAAACACATATCAATTAGTGCTAAAACCATTGTGATTAAAGCGGATAAGGTTACAGATAAGCAGAAGATATTTAAATAATAGAATTAGTTGGTCGGATTCTATGAACGAACGAACGAACCTTCCAGCGCCGATCCAGCCCACTTCTCTCTCTCTCTCACCGTTTCTCTCAACCAATCACAATATTTTATATTTTTTTAATAATCCAAGGTTGAGAGTCTTGAGACATGAGAGGATCTGTTTATTTTATTAACCAAAAATATTGAGTGGACCTGAGACCTGACATTACAATATTGCGGAAACTCGGAATTAATAGAGAGAGAGGTCACCACTCTTACACATGGCGTGATTGAGCTTCAACTTTTTTGTTTTTGTTAAAAATTGGTGAGAGGTGGGCAGATACAAGTGGATAAACAAGTTTTTCTTTTTCCTTTTTTTTTTTTTGGTGTGTTGGATTGGATGATAAAAGAGAAGAGACAGAGAGAGAGAGACTACGTATCATCATCATTCCTTTATATTTTTCTCTCTAGGGAAAAATTCAAAAGTTTCTTATTTCGAATTTTTCTTTTCTGGGTTTTCGCCAAGGGAGCATCCTTTATGTTGTTCTTTTGAAAGAAGACTCCTTCCCTCTCTCTGCATTTCTCTCCCCTCTCTTCTGGGGAGTTTTTGTTTTCTTTTTTTCTTCCTTATTTTTAGGATAAAAGGAGATTCCTTTATCTCGATTTTGGCTTTCTTCTTATTAAATTTACGATTTTTTTGATTCTTGGGAGAAGAAGAAGAAGAAGAAGAAGAACGATGATAAAGTTGTGGGTGGTGACTTCTCTTCAACTCGCGGAGCTGTTCGTGAGCTCCATTGTCCATTTGCTTTATGGCTTTTATATCTTCAGCTCCGCTGTTGCCGGAGATATCTCCCTGACTTTGAATGATTACTTGTTCAAGTCCAATGTCGATTTCAACGACCTTGGAGATACTGGTCAACGCCTAAGCAATGTTGAGGGTTTGCCTCCAATTGTCTTGGTTCATGGCATCTTTGGATTTGGCAAAGGGGTAAAATGCCAAATAAGAAAATATTCAATATTGCTTCTTTTGTCTGTTAGATTCTTTGTTTTGGAGGTTTCATTTTATTGTTTTGATTCATCAGAGATTAGGAGGCTTATCATACTTTGGTGGTGCTGAGAAGAAAGATGAGAGGGTTCTTGTTCCTGATCTGGGGTCCTTAACAAGCATCTATGATAGGTATTGGATTTGTTTTTGCCTCCTTAACCAACTCTGCAGCTCTAGGATTTTGATCTATTATTTGTGCATTGTGGCTGATGATAGATAACAATGCTTTCCAGGGCAAGGGAATTGTTCTATTACTTGAAAGGAGGCAGAGTTGATTTTGGCCAGGAGCATAGTGAGGCTTGTGGACATTCTCGTTTTGGCAGAAGATACGAAGAAGGTTAGATTTTAATCTGAATGCTCATGGGAAGGCAAATGTGGCCTAATGTTTCATCTTGGATGTACATCTGAATTTGGCATGTGTTTTAGGGCAATACCCTGAGTGGGATGAGGATCATCCTATCCATTTTGTGGGGCATTCAGCCGGTGCTCAAGTTGTGCGCGTGTTGCAGCAAATGCTTGCAGATAAGGTCTGAGTTGAATCCTTCTTTTAGTGAAGGTTCTTGTTTAAGCTCTGTTTGATGATGATCCTAAAACATCTGTATCAATCCATGATGTTTAGGCATTTGAAGGGTATGAAGACACGACTGAGAACTGGGTTCTGAGTGTGACATCGTTATCCGGGGCATTCAATGGAACTACCAGGACTTACTTAGATGGCATGCGGTTAGTTTCCATTCCGAAATTTTCCATTTGTTTCGATATTTGAATAGACCCGTTAGATTGTTCCTGTCTCTGCATTTTGAATAAAATTTCTTGTATAACCAAGATCTTTTCACTGAATGTTTATTCCTATTGTTGCTGTTACAGGACAGATGATGGAATGAGCATGAAACCGATATGTCTGTTGCAGCTATGTCGTATAGGGGTGATTATGTATGATTGGTTGGATATTCCATGGCTAAAGACTTATTACAATTTTGGGTTTGATCACTTTATCATTTCTTGGAAGAAAACTGGTGTGAGAGGTCTCGTTGATTGCCTTATGGGAAACGCAGGTCCTTTTGCTTCTGGCGATTGGATCTTACCCGACCTTACTATACAAGGCTCAACAAGTATTAACTCCAATCTCCAGACATTCCCGAACACTTACTACTTCAGCTACGCGACTAAACGCACCCGCAGAATCATGGGTATGACGATTCCTTCAGGTGTTCTTGGAATCCACCCGATGCTCTTTCTCCGCGTATTTCAGATGAGCCAGTGGAGATTCCCACAAGATGTATCTCCTCCTTATAAAGGCTACAGGTACGCAAAAAGATTCAGACTTTAACACTCATTCTTGAAGCTCTTGATCAGTCCTTTGTTTTTGCGTGCTTAAGCATTGCAAAGTGGCGGCATTGTTCTAAGAAAAATGTTTCCGTATTTCGAATGAAGGGATGAGGAATGGCAAGAGAACGACGGGGCATTGAACACAATATCAATGACGCATCCGAGGCTGCCCGTTGAGCATCCAAGCCGTTTCATAAGAAGCGATTCAGAGTGTCAAACATTACAACCCGGCATCTGGTGAGTGAATCACATTTTAACAAACCTCCTTAGAGTGGAAACTGAATGTTGATGGAATCAAAAATTGGTCTTGTTGTTGTTGTTGTTGCAGGTATTATAAGATAGTGGAAGCAGATCACATAATGTTCATAGTGAATAGAGAGAGAGCTGGAGTTCAGTTTGATCTGATATACGACAGTATCTTTCAACGTTGCAGGAAACATGTTTTTAGAAAGATTCCTCAAACTCTCCCGAATCTATCTCCTTCTTCTCCTCGTTCATCACCCAGGAAAAACAACTTTGTACATTGATCACTTTAAAAAAAAAAATGTTGTAGGGCTGATATGTTGAGGGCTTAAGTTTTTGTCTAGGCTATACAGATCATTCAATTGTTCTTCTTATTCTCTCTTGATTTGTTGTATTATAAAACATACACCTTTCATTTTAAAACTTATAATATTTGTTATTTGGTCATGTTGCTCTAATGCTAGTGAAATTACAATTCAGAATCTTACTAGAATGAGTAAGCTAATGCGTTTATAAAAAAAAACTTGTGAATAACATGTCGTCACATTTCGATGAGGTCATTCTTAGCCCATATCGAAGTCGTTCATGTCACTTAATCTCGTGAAGGTGGCGTTATATAAAATGTCGTCACAGATAAACACATTTACTCCTAATTTTATAGTCATACTTCAATAAAGCTAAAGATATCAAGTAGTGAAAAGGAGACGAAACGCGTAAAACCAAGATTTAGAAAGATACCAAAAAGTACTTACTAATAGAAAAACTGTCGTAAAAACTAAAAATCTTACAGAACAGAAAAAAAGACGAGAAAACAATTCACAAGAATATGGCTTCTAAAACAACCTTCACCGCAAATTTCATTAGCCAACATATTTCAACCCTTTTTTTTTTTTTTTTTTTTTTTTTAGATCTTCCTCTGCTTTGTTTACGTTGACAATGGCTTAAATAAAAAGTTAAACAAAAAAACAGATCTCACATGAGCCTCAGTTCGTACTCACCAGCCATGGTTATATATCTCACCCATGGAAGAGCTTGGTACCCACTCTTCTCAATGATCTTCAGGTATCGAACCTGCAATACCCATAATTATCACGCATCAGGCTTTGCCTTCAGATTTCAATGCAGTAATATCGAAAGAACGTGATTCGTATGATTAAAGACTGATCACTGTGAGCAATACCGACCTGTATTCCTGAAACTGTGAAGTATGGGATCTCGAATTTGACACGGATTGGAGCTTTTCGCTCAGGTGTTGCTTCCTCTGCGGTTATACTTGGAAGATGGAACTCTGCTCTTAACATATATTCCTACATTTTTTTTCAAAATTTCATGTAAGCATTCAAGTTAATCTGGCCATGTGTTACAATAAACTATAACAACTTACCTTGTTTCCTGGGAAAGATTTGATTTTCCAGACCAGTGCATCTTTCTCGGGAGCATATGCAGCAGACCCAAGAGATGTTCTTACATTGGGGTTAGATGCATCTGTTGGTACAGGCAACTCAATCTCAACATTTGTTGCAGTGCTGTAGAGTAAGGAACTCTTATTAAAAACTTTTAAAGGACTTAAGGTAACGTAAAATTAAACAAGTCACACAAGGATTATTAGTTACCTTCTCTCCTTGAATTGGCTTCTAGCTTTTACTAGCATCTCAACACGACTTCTGGAATGCCTCTCTATCTGCGCTTCCACCCATATAAGAGGCTTTACCTGAAAATGTATGTATTATGTGAAAATAAGTTATATTATGAGATTTAAATTGTTTTTAGAAGGGTACAAAACCTTAGTTCAAAAAAAAAAAAAAAAAAAAAAAAGGGTACAAAACCATCTGTTTAATATTCCAAATTTCAAACCTGAGTACTGAGTCTATACGTCATTAGATCAAAAGATCCATCAGGTGGTATGAAAGATATCGTCCTGTCGTTCTCAAAACGGGCCAGTCGAACACATCTACATTTTGAAGAAAGAGACATGTAAAAACTCAAGTATCAAAAAATATTTTCTCGAGTTACTAAAATTTGGACTGGATAAAGTGATTGTCAAGAATGTTTGGAGTTACAAGGGGATACATACTGATGAAATTTGATGTCCTCCAAATCAATGGCTTTTCCTTTTGTTGCTCGTCCCTGTGCCTCCAACAATACTCTATCATTCAGGCCTAACTTACACTCTGGCATTCCACTATTAATACATTGATTACGAAGCAGAGGGTCAAAGAGGAGGGGATTTTGATCTAATATTCTTTGCTTACTAGGAAAACTAGAGAACGCACCTCAAGTATGTTCGCATCTTCAATGCTCCAACGACATCAGACCTGACAATTTGCCCATTACTGTTCACGAGGATATTTACACTCTCTACTACATCCAAGAAAACCTGAAAAACAAAACATCAATCCGTAAACATTTGAAACCTGAAACAATAGAAAAGTAAAACATTCCCCGCTTCAGAACTAAGCACCTACTTCGTTTTTCTTAAACTGTAACCCCTCACTCCTCCATGAGACAGCATTTGTGACCGCCATTGGAGGCCTCTGTGTAACTTCCATTCTATATGCATCAGTCTTGATGAATTCACTAAGAATTCTTGCCTCAGTATACTGAGGGTAACCAAAGTCCATCATCTCGTCAAGTAACTCATACTGCCAATAATATAAATCAATTTCAGCACTTTGTTTTAAAAATAACATATAGCATCAGAAAGGTGTTATAGGAACTGATGGGAGAAGCATTAACTTACCACTACCACAAAGTTATCTCTCAAAGATTCTTCCTCTAACTCCTCGAAGTAATGCTTGAAGACCTACAAATCAGTATAAGAAACTCGTAAATGATAGTAACATAAGAAACAGTGCCGTTCTTTTTCCTCCAATCTGGAAAACAGATGGGAATGCAAGAACTGATATCACTAGAGATGCTTACATCGACTACGCGATGCAAGAAGAAGAGAAGACTGGCAGCATTACAGTTTTGTCTGGACGCTATCATCAAGTAAATGTTACTGTGCTGTACAAACATGTAGGTAACCCCATTATCGTAAGCAACCGGATCATTTGACTGTGAATCACCCTGAAAAATTAGAGGAATGTAAGCATACCCGGGAAGAAAACACAACTCGTTTGGTCACAGGTATAAGTAAATCGATTCTGATCAAATTCTAATCCAAATTGAGTCCTGTAAGCACTGATCAAGCTAGTTCATTAGTTCCAAATGTTCAAACTTCCGTTTCCTAAATCACAAGAATCTCAGAAGGACCAGTGGCATCAGATAGATACAAATCCATCGCTATCTTAGAATTCCATTAGCAAGTCACGACGAAACAGAGAAGATTGCAACTTCCACACAATCGGGCAAGTTGCTTGAACACTTTCGAATTCTATTGGCAAATCTCTCAAAGGATGGAAATTGGAAACGAATTCATGATTCTAGTTCATTGCATCGAAGCAGACTTACCATTTCACATCATCCAAGCATTGAAGAGACAGAAAATAAACAGGGAATCGCAAATCTAGAAAGGAAAGATGGGAAAAGAGAAACCTCTTTCTCGATGAGCTTGGTGAAGAAACGCTCGGCTTGAGCAGCTGTAACATCGCCACGGTAATCGCGCCACACCAGAACACGGCCCTTGATATCGAGCAGAAACAGCGCTGAGGCCGCCCCTGCCATGGTATTCCTGGTCCTCCCTGTTTCTCAACGATTGTGAATCAGATCCGATCAAACAGATGGATTAAGCCAACGAGATCTGAAGAATTGTATGCTTCACCGGAGAAGATGGGACAACATCAAAGAGAAGAAGGAGCTAAGATCATTAGCAGCTGAGTCTGAGTGGGATAAAAGTCTTTATTCACGATCTGACGAATTCGTTCTGGTTCGTGGTTGGATTCATAATAGAGACACAGACATACACATACACAATAAAATATAAATTAAAACCGATGTGGGGAGTAAAAAGTGCAGCTATCAAATTCAGCTTCGCATTACTCTTTTGTCAAACATTATGCCTTCAGATTCCGATACGGCGTCGTTTATTTGGAAACCTTATATAGTAAGAACTAACTTCTGAATCTAATTTAGTAATTTTGGTTCTCCTAGTTGTGATATACTGATATCATTGCCAATTGTGAGAGAAAGTATGTTTCGTTGGCCAGTTGAGATCTCTGAGACGTAATTAAGTATAAATCATATACCAAACACATTTCATCTAAGTTTAATCACTTAATGCCTTTCAATATCTTCATTACATCGGCAGGGAGATATAGATAGAACAATATAATGAAATTGAAGTGATGAAAGTAAATCTTCTGTACATGTTTCAATCAAAACCTTTTTTTCTTTCTTTCTTTCTTCTCTTTGAGAGCAAACATCATCAAACCACAAACAATCAAACTCACCCAAATGACTTCCACGATTTGACTCAGCACGCATCTTTATGTTCAATTCTATTTGCTTCCATTTCGTGAGGTAGGCAGGGCAAAGCAACAAGCCAGAGGATGGTTCATGTTTCCTTTTGCTCTGTGCTCTTTGATGTAATCTTAGACTTGAGTGCTAAGCTACTTATATCGTCGTCTCCTTCTAGATCACTGAAAGAAACATCATCCTCATTTACTGTGAACATTGGAGCCCAAGAATTTGCAGAATCTTCTTCTTCTGGCCAATCATCATCATCATCATCAACATCTTTAGGTGTTTGGCTAAGGCTTGCACTATTTTTGCCATTCTTCTGGATTGGTATTTCTTCGATAACAGCTTTATCGATGAACTGTGCGTTTTCTGACCCGTGTTCGTAATCGCGATACATTATCGAAGGAGGTTCAAAAGCATATATTCTTGGAGACAGAAACTCAGGAGGAGCATGGTTGTAATAATTTGACGTTGATGGTGAAATGTCTTCTTCAAGAATCTTCTCTCTACTTTCTTTTGAAGAATGGTTTTGATTCTGAAGCTCTTTCATCCACAATGCTCTTGCATCCATCACCTACAACAATTTTATTGAGTAACTACAACAATCATTCTAGATTGGATTCAAGACTCAAGAAGATTGAGGTTTTCTTACCTGTGGGGAAGACAAAAGATGAGCATCGTGTTTATTGAGCCTCGAAAGAAGAAGAACAAAATAGACTTTCCAGAAGTAACCATCAGTCATATGGCATGGACAAAGCTCAATTCTCAATGCAGCTAACCTCGGAGCAAGACGCTCAATAGCTAAAGCATGACCTCTTTGAGCATCAGTCATTTCCAAATCTACAAAGGAGAAGATAGACATTGAAATAAAAACCAAACCTTTCATATGCAAATAAGTCAAATCAATGAAAGACTAAAGGCCAAAAACTTTGACTTGTGAAATTCCAACAGAAATTATATGAAACCAAATCCGAAATTGACACAATCAATGAACGTTACCGTCAAGATCTTCGTCGGGATCAAGAGGAAAATCCAACCAAGTTTCTGGATGCATTGCTATGTTCCTCGCAAATGCCAACACTTCGTCGGTCAGAGCAACCGCAGCGATCTCTTCTTCTTCTTCTTCTTCCTCTTCTTCATCAGTTTCCTCATCCTCTTCTTCTTCTTCTTCTTCTTCTTCTTCTGCCTCTTCAGGATCGTTATACACAGGTTCGACCCCTTTTTCTTCCAAATCCCAGCTCCTAACCCTAATTCCAGTCTCAGGCGTATCACTTCCAACACACAACTCGTCCTGATCTGAAAACCGCGATTGATCCAGTTTAAGATCCGAAGACCGCGAGTGGCTCAATTCAGGATCTGAAAACCGCGATTGATTCAATCTGGGATGATTCAATAGATCGGTAGAAGAAGAAGAAGATCCATCTGGTAACGGAGCGAGAAAGTTAGCAACACCGCGAAATTGACGCGTGAGGGTATGACCAAGCTCCGTCAAATCATCTTTAACCCCGCGCGCCTGAGCCTCTTCTTCTTCCGGTGACAAACGAACGGCGTTTCTACCGGAATCGTGTCTTTTCGGTGAAGAAATCGGGGTGCTCGTGTTGTCCTCGTCGTCGTCGTCGGCGGCGTCATCGTCTCCGATTCCCTCGTATAAGCTTTCGAGAAAATTCGAAAACATTATGATTTCAATTCTTTTTCTTTTTTCCTTTTTCTTTTCTCATTAATCTATTGATCCATTTGCTCTTGGTTGACACCAATACAAATTGTTTATTTTTGCCCAACAAACCCCATACAAATTATATACTATACTATATTATATAGTTGTAATATAAGTTTAATTTCCTTCACACCTTAATCATAATATTTATTTCCTCTTTTTGCTGTTAAAGATTGTATTTAGAAATGTAATTGATTGATATATATCCAGTGTTAATTAAGTTACGTAAAAGTCGGATATCATTACATTTATTTCAAATCCACTATATAGTCGAATTACATGTCATTACAAAGTTTAAATAAATAAAAACATTGGTATTGAATACGAATGTTTGGAAAAGCCTGAAATGGAATGAGCTTATGATTATTAGTAAAGGTTTTGGAAACTATTTTGAACATTGGTCGAAGCAAAAAGGCTCTTTAAATTCATATATAATATATTGGAAGAAACTCACTACTATATAATATATATGTTCTTATTCCCAAACATGGATTACATATGTTCTATCTCTCTTATATATATGTCGACTATGTCTCGTAAACTCGAATGTGACTATATACTAGGAGTATTTGCAACGAGTTCTGTATGTACACAGAGTAATCTTGCTCCATAAAAATGATATTAAATGATGAGTTCCTTTAAATTTATTGTCAAATGATGAAATACTCTTCAATACAAGAATAGAATCATACCAAAATATCAATAAATAACGAATTAAAAATTCTTACTTCAATCCATAACACATGCATGGCCTCAAAAATCTATCTTATACATGTTTGCTCGCACAGCTCTTTGGCGTTGGGATAATCTTTGTCTAACCAACAAGAGTCTTGTTTGGTTGCAGCAGCGAGACAGCACCAACAATCACGTTTAAATGCGTTGATGCAAGCGTCGTGGAAACACAATGGTATATTGACTTTCCTCGACCTGATCCCTATCTTGCTACCTACACGTCGAGCGATTTTATCAACTCATGATAAACTAAATTTCTAATTTTTGTGTAATTTTGATGTGTGTGAAACAAAAAAAAACACACAAAAAACATTACTTACACTCATACATGGAGAAGAGGGAGAGCAAGACTATGCAAATTATAGCTATATGTGATGATTTCATGGATTAGCCTGTTTCCAAGGACCCTGCTATGAACTTTTTTATGTCTTTGTCGATTCCAACTTAATTAACCATATATATATATATGGATATGTGGACAGTTTAATTAGGAAAGTCATATATTCGAGAGAATATACATTTAATTTCCAAATATCTTTTTTCGAAATGTAGACAAGTTATTTAGGAAAGACATATAATATTTGAGAGAATATGCAATTTTCAAAAGTAAACAGAGGTTAATTGTCTATTTATTGTTATTAATTTTTAACATCTTTCCTTTTTTACATATGCTATCAGAAAAAGGAAATAGTCGAACCAAAGAAAAGAAAAAAAAATCACTTAGAGTAATTAAGGAGCCAGTGAATCATTTCTTGGCAATTTCTAATACTTGATCTGAATAATGATGTAATGAGTGAATATGTTAGAAAGACATTTGTCCTTCACCAATATTGGTCCTTTTTAATCTCAATTGTTTAAACAACTTATGTTCAATCTATGAACTGAAGACTGGAAATGGAAAACAACATAAGAATATTTATGATGTACGATGATGATACTTATAGAATCCAGTTACCTCCAATTTCTTCCATAATTCTCTCTACTTTCTGCAGCATATCTGGACAATGAGAAAATCACTTGTTTCATGAACTGTATAAACTTTTAAACGAAAGCTGAAATGTAATGTCTGTGTAGAATTAGTGGAAAGAATGCTCACCTTGAAATGAAGAATCTTCCATGTAGTTCTGCAAGTGCAACGAAATTTTGAAATCCCAAAATCAGAAGATATTATCAATAGAATTGTGTTCATGTGTCGAAAGAGAGTTTTGTGGAAACAAAAAGGGTTTGTTTATGCTGTACCAGTATCTGTGACTTTAGATCAGGATCCTGCTTTACAATTGCTTGGCCTGCATCTATATTAGGTTTCATAAAGAGGAAATGTGTCAATAATGTATATAAGAAGTGATATTCCTCAAGCTTAGAACAGGAAGATGAATGAAAAGATGTACCTAGAGTGGAATTGGGGAAGCAACCAGAGAGTAAGGTGGTGAAACTTGGAAGGAGGTCGCTGGAACTCTCGTTCGGGATTGGACTTATCGTAGATTGTGGTGTGTATAAGGTTTGTCTAGTTTCATACTCAACTCGTGGTAGCATTTCAGGAATATAACTATCAACAAGTTTAACCATATTTGGGTCTTCCTCAGTGGCTCTGCAAAGAAGATTTTACAATATCTTAATTGTTGGCTGAAAGCACGTGTACAAAATCACATCAGTGTAATGCGATACCTGGAGAAAATCTCATTTGAAGGGTTGTAATCTGACTGGAAAGAAACTTCGGACATAGTTTCAGTTTTCTGGTTCTGAGCTTCATACTCAAATCTTGGCATTTCAGGAACATAATAACCATCAAGAGGTTTCACCATACTTGGCCTTTTCTCAGTGGCTCTGCAAAGAGGATTTACCATATCTAAATAGTTCGCTTAAGCACTTATACAAACATTTCAAAACACTGTTATTGATGTGATCTAACCTGCGGATTCTCGCATTTGAAGGTTTGTAATCTGACTGGAAAGGAACCTGGCAGCTAGATTCATTTCTCTTGTTCCGAGCTTCGTCTAAACCCTTAAGCTTCTCCTGCATAGAGAAAATCATCGGCTCTGATTCGTATTCATCAACTTATAAACTCAATTCAAGGCTAATGAAACATCATCTCCATCTGATCAACATGTAAGAAAGCTATTTGCAGTAATTGGCTGCTAACCTTAAGAGCTACCACAAAGCTCAACGATGCATCACATGTAGAAAACCGTAAAGCGAATTTTTGGATCTGGATAAGAACAACAAGCAAAATCAAAACCACATGATTTCTCGATTCTACAAACTCATGAACAGTAATCAAATCCTTCCTAGGCTATACAATAGTTCAGAAAATCCAAAAAGTGATTATAAGTGTTAAGAGATTTTGCCTCGTTTGCAGAATCCTTATAGCTAACAAAAATCGCTCGACTACCACGAGATGGAAACCCAGTAACACACGACATCTGTGGCCATGTGAAATTCAGCTTCGAAATGTAGTGTTCTTCCTGTAGAATTTGATATTTAGCACCGTCAATCGCACTTTTAAAACTTCAATCAGACATATATATATCCCGATTACGAACTCGGTTAAGCTTAAACCATCGCGAAACACCAACCTAAACATCCGATCTATAGAACAACAATATAGAGAGAGAGAGGTCAAATAAAAATCAACTCACAAGGACTTTGCCACCGAGTTGGACGGAGAGAATCACGTCGGATCTGTTCACTTCTTCTAGCATCAGGAGAGACACATTCGAAGAAGACGTCGACAACCACGTCCCGTGGGGGGAATAATACATCTCTCTCTTCCCGACGGGTTTCAGACCTGGATACGGAGAGGGAGATGACGGAAACTGAACAAATCGAGCAAAACTGATCATCCATCCGGAAATTTCTGGAACTGCCGCCGCGTTTCCACGGTGGTGGTGCTCGTGGACTGATGCTGTTAGAGATCCCGCCATCTTCCTTCAGATATTTTTCTCCGTTTCGAAATTTATTTCTTTTTTTTCACCTTTTTCTTTTCTGTTACGACGAACGAAATTTGAAAAGCGTGCTGTACGGAAATTTTATATTTCCATAAAAAGCCGCTCTGCTCATATTAAAAATATTCATTTGGGTTAATAGGCCCAAGCCCAATAACTATGTCTCTAGATTAAGATCTTAAATTCGGTTCAAGTTTGGTTTGGTATACAATTGTGGTATAAAATATAAATCTTAACAACAGAATACTTTAGAAGCGTATATATATGGAAACTTGAACTTTATTTTATCAAAAAAAAGAGTAAATAAAGAGAAGTAGTACAAGCAAGCTTTATAAGACTGCTTGGAAAAGGTGGGGGGAATTCAAATGCATGAGTAGACCAGAGTAATAGAAATGATTATAACCTACATTGCATATTGCAATAGTCGCGACCAGTGCTACCTGACCAACAGCATTGTGGCCTGATAGCCCGTAAATGTTCGCAGCACCAACAATGAGGTACCAAAGGATGGCATGGGCCAGGAATACACTCTTCATTTACGTCCTTTAGAGAGATCTCTTTGCTCACACCTACACATCATCGATTATATATATATGGTTGTTAAACACCAAACCAAAACTTTGAAAAACGAACACATTCGAATATACTTACACTCATGAAGAGCGAATAGAGAGAGCATGACTATGCAGATTATAGCTAAATGTGATGACTTCATCGTAGTCTGGATGTTAATGTTACAACTCTCTCAAATAATTGTGTTGTGATATTTTGTTGTTGTAATTTTTTCATTCCGAACTTAATCAATATATAATACAAACATAGATTAATTTTAGGTAAGAAAGAATAATTTGAGATAATATCTCTTGATTTGGAAGATCCAATATTCAAATGTCTTGGTCAAACTTTCCAATATCTCTATTAAGAATTTAATTATTAATTTTGATTTATGTTTCCGTATTAGTGAATGTTCCACTATCATTATACAGTAATTTATTGGGTCAAAGATATATAAATTATATTCAACCATCATTTATTCAGTGAAGAGTAAAATTAGCTGTCAGTTATTTGACAAGTAATTTTTAATTTTTAGTTAGAACCAAAAAGAAAAAAATCAGATTAAAACATTGGTTAACTGCTTTTTCTGACGCAGAAGCAAACATAATAGAGTCTATAACTTTGCGAGACGTTTATTTATTTTTAGTAAACAAAATAGAACTAGTTCTTCATGCTTCCCTTGTTTTAATTAATCATATCAAGGGTTTAAACTTGTGTTACACTGCATGTTGCAAAAGTTGTGACCAGTTGTGCCTGACCAACAGTGGTCTAAATGTTTGCAGCACCAACAATGAGGCACCATTGCATGGCATGGACCAGGGTAACACTCTTCACTGACGTTTTCGGAGTTCGTTCCCTCAATCTCTCTAACCTCCATCCTCACACCTACACACATTGATCGGTTTGACTTTTAATCATTAAAAGTTTAACACAAACAAAACTTAATTTGAGAATAAACAAGAAAACAAAAAAAGATATTCGAATATATGTGCATGTATACAAGAAAAGAGGGTGAACATGACTATTGATATTAGAGCTATATGTGATGACTTCATGGTATAGCTCTCTCTCTCTTGTGGTTCTTGTTGTCTTATTGAGTTGTTGTAATTCTTACACACAGCATAATCGTATACAAAGAAAAAAAAAAGATAGCTAGGAGAAATATTTGAAGCCAATCACCTTATTAAACTCTTTCAGATATTCTAACAGAATTCATATCGAAATATAATTAATATGCTTAGATTTAGGGAACACAAATATTTAAATAGGATCTTTCCACAGCCACTAAAGTCTTTACAGCCTATGAATCGTATCAGTTAAGCTTTAACTAGGCAAAATTCAAAGTCACACTAATAAAAAAAAAAAGAAACAATTGTTCTTTTTGGTTGTAGAGTTGAGAATTCAAATGGATTTACTTTAACTAACTAAAAGTAGAAAGAAAATTCAAGCTTTATTTTTGTCACGTAAACAAAAAAGTTTATGTTTGTCACGTAAACAAGCTTTATTTTCCCAAAGGAATTATTCTGTCTATCAAGTACAAAAAGAAGTGAAATGATACATTATTACATTATTGGATTTTTCTACATAAGAAGAAAAACAAACAACCTCTTTCAATGGAAAATGCTTCGATCGAGACTATACACCCATAAATCAGCTTTGGTCCAAAATCCAAAAATTACTTGCGGCTTAAACTTGAAGAGCAGAAGCTATAGAACCAGCCAGGCTAAGAACTTCAAAAGGAGGTTTATTCATCACCTCTTTCACAGTCAACCCACACGAGTCTGTGATCCAGAAATAGCTCAGACCTTCCGCAGGATCACCTGTTACCATGGTGGAAAGACAAATACAAGATTTTAACAAAGTCGCAAGAAATCTTTGTAGACTGAGTCAAAGCATTTGTATATTGGTTGTAACCTTTGGTGTCAAGCTTGAAACGTTTCCATGAACTCTTGGGGAAGATCCCATGTGTTACATATGCGCTTATTTTCGCTGCTCCATGTGCAGCCAAGACTTTCTGAAGAGAACAAGAATTAGTTGTTAGTTATAAAGAATTGAGAACAGAGTTACACTTAAGAGTTGAATCTGAGTACAGAACCTGGCATTCGATTAGTGTGCCACCCGACTGAACCAAATCATCGACAATCACAACGTGCCTTCCTTCAGCGTCCCCTTCTTTGATACGCACTATTCGTTTGTCTCCCATTCTTACTTTGTTGCAAACGATCTGAAAGACAAACAGGATTACTTGGTAAGTAAAGGTTAATATTCAGATTTGCTGTTCAAGACTGGATGATGCAATGCTTTTTTTGGAGTTAGATCTATCGTGAGCTTGAAGAACAACCTCCTCAATCTAAACTCAGCTGCTAAGTCCTAAACCGGTCCACACTGTAAGATGCAAATGAATGAGCAAAGGCCTGTGTATTACCGTTGGATAATGTTGGAGTTGTTTGTGGAAACGTTTCCATGCTCCATCATCTGGGAATGCAATAGATATCTGAAACAAGCAAGCAACCAAAATGAAATGTATGTTGTTGATATCTACTTTACATGGTAGCGCTGATAGAAATGTGACAACCAGAGGGAAAGAGAGAGAGAGACTTACGTTATCGGAATCAGGTAGACTCTGGAGTCTGCTCTTGAGCAACGGTATACCACTTTCAAAGCATGGAAGAATAGTATCACCAAAGTAGAATCTTTCCTACAATACAAATAAAGACAAGGCAAAAACTAGATAAATCATCGACTCAGAGAACAAAAAGAGAGAAGTAATCACTCATCAGCATTGACTGGAATTGTAAATAAAGACCTGCAAGGCATGTATATCGAAGGTAACTAAGCTAGTCGGTCCTCCTCTCGAAGCCGGTATATTTGAGAGAATCCTAGCTAGAGTGAAAGCAGTCGCTACATCTCCTTCGTCTTCCATTCTCTCAGAAGTTCCAGTGGGGAAGAATGGAAGAACAAGTGTAAATGAAGAAACGAAAAGCTTGGGCAGCGCATAAATAACCGAGAGCTGCTCGAAGATCACAGCAGGTGAACTGAACGAAGCCAAGAAGGCAACGTGCTGCCCACGAATGCCTTGAGCATTTTGTATGAACAAATTAGGGAACCCATCATCAAATTTCCTAAAAACAAGAGCAATGATTGTGATTACTTTGTGATCAAGAACCTAAACCTCTTCCAACCAAACCCTGACTCGGCTTAAAGGTCTCAAATTTACAGAGATATCTCATCTCAAGGCATCAATTTTGAACTCGCATTGACCAAAAACACAGAGAAGCTCTCATTTGAAAGTTCAAAAAACAATTTTTTAGAAACCAAACCGACGAATCTGGAATCAATTGGATAGAGAGATGAGATGTAATTTACTTCCAATTGATGCTTCGTAGCTCGATGCAATCAGATTGAGATACGATTCTCTCGGCGAGATCTCTAGTCTCGTCGCTGTGGAAGAGACAGACGCGCTTGGAACACTTGGCACCGGATTCGGAAGCTGCCGCCGCCATGGATATGGAAGAAGAAGATGAATTCGGGTTAATTAGGCTGATAGGATCTCCATTAGATAAGAAATCGAGGCTCCGGTGACCCGAAGACTGGTTCTCTAAGCTTCTGACTCCGCACTTCACGCAGCGATTAACGACTCTAGCAGTTTTGAAATTAAGCGAAAACGGAGACGAAGAAGACGTTATCGACGAGGAAGAAGAAGAGCTAAACTGGGGCAGGGAGAGTGAAGCAGCGGTGGTTGCATTCGCCGGAGAAATAGCCGCCATTTCCGAAGACGAAGGGTCAAAACTACGAATTTGCCGGCGGATATCTTCAAAATTAACGAATTTGTTTTTGTTTATAAGAAAAAAATCTGACATGTGGCGAAGGCTATGGTGAATGACATAAGTACCCTTATCTGTCAAACGTGACGTTATGAAGATGTTTCGGTTTGTTTGGTCTAATTTAGCTAACTATCGGTTCAAGTTTAATTTTTGTCCGATTACCGAAACGAAACTTAACGGTTTGTATCGTTTTAGTTATAAAATATATAATGTCGATAGGGAGATGATTGGGTCAGTTTCCGGTTTAAGGTGACAAACTTGGGAAGGTACACCTACTTTGTGATATAAAAAAATGTGTTAGTTGAAGCCAAAGAAAACATTATAATTTAGAAATTTCAAAGTATCAATAGTAATATACACTTTGGTAAACAAGAGGCTGCTACAAAATATGTATATTTTATATACATAAAAAGACATATATGATATAAGAGTTTTCATATATATACACATATAAGATTAGTGAGCTTTGAAGCATAGTTTGTGATGCATCATAGTCTCTTAAGTTGTATATAAGATTTTTCCAATAAATTATAACGATGCCAAGATGATACCAATACACGATAGTTAATTTTATGCATTCAAATAGTGATTGACGAAAAACTTTCAATTCAGAAAAACTACAATACTTTGAAAAGATCATTCTAGGTAAGAGGCAAACACACGAGCTAAAGTTGAGAAAAGAACCCAAAAAAAAATAAAACTAGAAATCAGAAAGTTGGTAGTTGCCAAACAAAAAAAAACACCGACCAAAAACATCGAGCTATAAATGGTTTCAGAGGGTGCAAAAGAAGAAGAACGACTTTGATCAGCATCGACGTTGGAATCTAATCTATATATTGACCAATGACCGGCAGTGATTGTTAGAAAGTCAAACATATGGACCGACAATTGAAGACTGAATCTCATTCTCACACTCAACGACTCTTTCCATCTCGTTACTCCATTTATTATTAAAGGGTATATTTATTAGGTATACATGCTAGAAGCTAATACAAATGTACTACTTATAATGATGTGTGATAACCTAAAAATAAAACCCTATGAATTATACAAGTATTAAATACTTTAGTGTTATTTTAAATTCACCTAGCTTATTTAGGTCACGCGTTTCCTCGGGTTCCTTATTCTTATTTAAAACTCAATTTTTGTTCATCTCTTCACGGGCTCTCTCTTTTCTTATCAACTCTTCGCTCCATCAGATATGTACTCCCTATTCCGTTTGGAATTGACTATGTAGTTTTTGCAATAATACTTAAGACCATGGAACCTAGCTAACGTTGATACAACTGAGAAGAGTTATGTATAAAGAAACTAACTAGAGTTTATTGTAAAAATTCACCTATATATAGTTTAGGTCATTTAGATTCCTAGGTCATTTTCATTATAGATTATGCATGCAGCCTGCATGTGACTTTAATTGCATTAGAGGTTTATCATATAGGTAACCAACATTATTTTGTAGCATAACTTAATATAGTGAATGAATTTAATATTCATTATCAATAATAATGTAATATTATTTATAAATGTATATAACGTTATAGACGAGTTTATGGAATATATAGTTGGCCACATAGTTGATGGAGATAAGATATATGTACACTTCACCGGATAAGATGATGGGTTTAATACGGACGTTTATAGACTAAGTGCTGAAAGCAATACCGAGAAAGAAGGATCGAGAGACTAGATTAAAAGAGTTTTTGTTTTTCACGTTTGTTAATATTGGGAAGCATTTTCATAGTAATTATTCATTTTAAGAGTTTCAAATGATTTCTAGAATTCTTGGTTTTTATATATATAGATTTACAAACATACCAAAAATTCTGATTTAACTTCAATAAGAATCAAGTTCATATATTCTTGTATATATTTTTTTTTCGAAGGCATGCATAAATTACTTACATAAGCTTTTAAAGTATTTGGTTTCACTATAAGATAAAACCTCAAATGCAGTTACAGTTACCTGCAGGCTGCATGATCTAGTGATAAAAAAATGAAGCTAGAAAATTTTAAATTTTGAAAAGTTTAGCAGGAATCGTTTGCTACTTCTCTCATGCTCCTTTATTCCCTCCAAGTACTCTCTCTGCCCTCACTCATCAGTAACGAATAAATAATATGAGTATTCTTTTGTTTTACTTTTAAAACGTACAACTCTATATCACTGTCTTTCTATAGTTTTATAATTGTTTCGGTCCAATAATTAGAAATTTGAAAGAAAGAAAAAATATAAAAAACAAACTTTAGTAATAATTCAAAAGAAGAGGAAAATTACCGAACTGAATCTTACAACACTACCGATCTGATGTAATTAATAAGTTGTTGACTATAAAAACCATCCTCTGAGTCTAAAATGTCCCCTTCACTTCATCATATTCGCCCACGAAGTAAGTTCACCACACACACACAAAGGTAACTTAGTTGAGAGAAAGAGAAAGAGAGAGAGAACAAAACGTCTCACTCAATCCCTCCACACACACATCAGTCCCAAAAACCTAAAGCAAGAACCTTTAGCGAGTTTTGATTCTTTCATCTTCACCAACAACAAACAATAACAACAATTCCCCTGTTTTCTCTTACTTACCTCACGTCCCGAGAGAAGAAGGTCATGGGGATTTCGAACAAACCTCACCACCAACTCGACGGTGGTGAGATGATGATACGTGAAACTACCGACGGTAAAAAAAGGATCGTCATCGCTGGAATTACCTCACGTTCGCCGCTCAAGCAGATTAATCTACCTTCCGGTGTCACTCTCACCGAAACAGAGGATCAAGATCAGTGTCCTACAACACCCACGGCGCTTTCCGTCAGGATTCCGAGGGTTCCTCCGTGTCCAGCGGCGCCAAGAAAGCGAAAGCCCTCGTCTAAATGCAGCTACGGCGCCGCCACTAGAGTTTTCTTCTCTCCGCCTGACCTCGAAACCGTTTTCATTCAGAGACCTAGTTATTAGCTCGATCTGTTTTCACTACTCTGCACTCTCTCTCTCTTTCTAACCTTCTCTAGGGTTTTAAATTTTAGAATAATCTGTTTTAGCGCTTTAGTTCTCGATTCTGGTTCAGCAGTATGAACTAAGAACCTGAATTTACTATATTTGCTTCTCGTCAGTTGTATCAATGTTATTAGGACACTAATCAAGGTTAGTGAATAGGAAGTGTTTCATGTTTATGTACATTTCATCTCCTTGTTGTTTTATGTATATGATTTTTAGCTTTGTTTTCATTTACCAATATATTTTCTGAATTTCTTGATCACGCTTAATTTTTGTCATTCTTTAGTTTTGCACTCATAGTCATAAAAAAGTTGATTCTTCCTCGATATAGTTTTTTTATTTTGTTTCCATGGAAGTTTGAGATGAAATTAACAATATGGTTCACAGATCAAAAGTCTTGCACTTTATCTACCTTTTTGTTTACTTTCATCTCTATCTTTTTTTATATATAATAAAACTCTTTTACAGAAAAGAAAAAGGAATCTTTCTTCTTTGTTTAAAAACTAAAAGAATCTTTTTTGTTATTTTCTAAATGGTTGAAAATTTGAAATAAATGCAAAAATCTCTCTGCCTTTCTGTGTTTTAATTTTCATCTAGAAACAGTTTTATAACACAAATATTTTGCCAGCTTTAAGAATTTTCAGATTCTATTTGTCAATGTCTTAAATTTTCATCTGTTTTTAAAACGTTTTTCGATTAGTTTTTTTCTTTTAACAAAATTTTCAGGAAAAATAATAATTTCGTATTTGGAATTATTTATATTTTTCTCTACTGTATGCACAAAAATAAATGCAGTTACGTCGGTAATATTTTTTATATACGTCAGAAAGAAAATAAAGATTTTTATTTTATTTTGTACTATTTTAATACACATCAAACATCATTCGATGATCAGTGACAGCCACCGACGCAAGTGGAATCCTAAGAAAAGAATACGCCAAAAAGTTTTGCTTCTGTTCTCATTGCATCAAAAATTTCGAAGATTTTGGAAGTTTTCGATGTTTTGTAACTATTATGGTACTATACGATAAAATCATTCTAGTTAATTTTATGTTACCATTTTTGTGGGTTTTTCTTATTTTTGTTTGTGTTTATTGTTTGCTATTGTATATGATGATGATATGAATATATCATCTATTTTTCTTTCTTAGTAACGTGATTATACATAACGTTTTAGTTTGATTGTGATCACTAACCATACCCATTTTTCAGGTTATACCACATTAAATTAAATATATTTGCAAAAGCTAAACTTTTTAAGAAAAAGATTAAGACAATTACAAGTGACAAAGCAGCAAACTAAAGTAGTCATGTATGAAAACAAGCCTTTGGTCTCGAATGGATTAGGATGCATGTACATATCATTTGTCTCCATAAGAAAAAGCAAATGCTATATATGTGAGGTTTTTAGTTGAAAGAACAAGCTCAGATTTAGTTTTACAGATAACTCCTAAAGGTGACTGTAAAATCATATATAATCTAATCCGCCACTTATTAAATATATGATTAGTGAGAAAAATTATTGTTTAGTAAATAAGAGATCTCATCAAAACGAGACGTCAAAGAAAGAAGAAAAGTTTTAAAATGATTTAGTGCTCATCAGTACTCCTCCTTGTTGACTGAATAAAATACTGTATATCCTCATCACAATTATACAAAGAAGACAAATTGTTTGAAGGATGCGTCACCTTCATAGTTTACTTTTTAAAAGAAAAATTATTTGGAGAATCGTACAATGAAAGAAAAAAAGTTGCTAATTATTGGACTCCACAAGCATTTAGAGATCCCATAATTTGGCGATCCCGGTGCATTGTACTTTGGAAGAGCCGATACTACTTTAAATTTAACACTCATGATCCTTCAAAATCTGAAAATGTATTAGTATAGAGTTAGTTTAGTGAGAGTTTTTTAAGTAAAATGATTTGCAGAAAGAAACGAAAACGAGTAACATCATTCATTTGGATCCTGGAAATAAATTGATCAGTGAAGATTTCAAAGTGCATTGACACTTGGTATGTGTTACTAGACACGTGGTTTACCCAACAATTCAATAGACATACAGTTCATGTTGGATAATGCAAACGTTATCCGTAAAAGAATCAGTTATAGCTAGCGACGTGAAATAATAAATAAATTTTTTTTTTACGAAATTTCTAGTCGTTTTATTCAGAAACTACAGCTTTGGGTAACAAATACGTACTTTTTTTTTGCATACTTTTTAGTATATATTTACCCTATTTTATAATTATTAGCAATTTTTGGGCCCAAAATAATATATGTCCAGCGAAATTTGAAGAGTAATTTTATTTGATGAACGTATATAATAAATTTTATTTGACAGAAACAAAACGTGGAAACATACGAGGAACGCACAAACTGCACAAAGAAACAAGTCAACAACAATGTAGCATGCTCTTGTCGAGTGATCAGCTTTTGTCTTTTCTTCTAGTTTAAATTTCTAAGTAATTAAATAGGTTTTATTTGAAAGTCTTGCTAAAACTAAGTTTGGCACTCAAAAAGCTTACACTTAATTGATATTTCATTTGTAATTAATTTGTAGGACATTTCTTGATATATTAACATTTTTGGATAAAACTGTTATTTGAAGCAAACATGAGAATCTAGTACCTTTATTTCCCACGAATGCGATGATGCATCAACACCTATCTGTTTAAGTAACAGCTAAACTGAATCTTATATAATAAGACAAGGTTTCTTCCTAACTTTGCCTTACAATGCGACATGTGTCACTCTATGCTTCTGACATGTGTCATATTAATTTCTAATATATATTTCAAAATTATATTTTTTTTATGATATTGTGTTGTAACTTATATGTTATATGTATAGTTTGCTTTTTAAAAAGTGTCATTGTTGCAAAACTATGTTTTTCCTAATTTTATTTTCTAATTAAATTAAATATCATTATAAGCTAAACATAAAATGGAGTTGTTATAATTTTTATTAAAAGAAAATTGCTATGACTTTTTTAACTACTCCTTTAAAGATACCTTTTAAAAGTTATTAATATGGGTGCTAAATTATTTATAACATTATTTCTAATTTTAAAAAGTTAATTTATAAGAGAAGAATTAAAGAGATTTTTTTAGTATGGTCAAATCTAAGATAAATACTGAAATTAGAGAAAGCTTGATTGTTTTTCAGTATAATAGATCAGTAGATCTTATATAAAATTTGGATAAAAATTATTTATAAGATAATTGTTTCTATGTAACTATTTAACCAACAAATTTTATTTAATTTTCTATTATCAAACAGTTGAGAAAATAATATAATGAATTTAAATCAAAGAATAACTATCATATTATTCACAAATCATATATATATATATATATATATATATGTGATATAAGGTTTTACCATCTTCTTATTGGTTCACTAGGCATGTAACTTTAAAAAATATTATATATTTGATTCACACTTTAATATAAAACTGAAAAAAACAAAGAAACCACAAAACACATTTAATCATATACATTAAACTCACACTTTAATATAAAAACTGAAATAATATAAATTTGCATTAACTATATTTTCCATTCAATTTTTTCAATACACAATCAATTATAATTGACTCCCATAATTGTTTTATGAAATTGTAACTCCCATCACTTCTCTTCGTATATATACTCATTTTCTCATTATATCATTCTATCATTCTCTCATTATATCATTCTCTCATTCTCTCATTCTCTTCTTTATGAAATTTGTTTGCTTTTTTGTTGTTGTTGTATGAGTTAAAAAAAAAAAACAAAATATTATTATATAAAATTTCAACTGTAGAAACTTATAAAGACTATATGATATATTGATGTACATCTTACGTTATTATAATTTTTCTTTTTTTTGAAAATTCATCTCTATTTTCTATTTTTGATTATCAACATATAAGTACATTCACTCCCTCTCTTCCATTATATTTATGTATTTTTTCTATTTTTTATGTTCTTATGTGACATAAAAATCAATGAGATGATCATTTTAAGAATTTGATATAAATATCTTTAGAAAGTATGATACAAATCTAAAATAGTATCTTATATTAGTTCCAAGCATCGTACAACAAGAGAATTAAGTTATAAAGATCCATTTTTATATATGCATTTTCTTTTTTGGTTATGAAATATCTAATTAAATATTTTATTGTAACACAATTTTGCAAATAATATATTATTACCTCTTTCTTATTCAAATAATTCTTAACACACACTGTAATATAAAAACTAAAATAATATAAATTTGCATTAACTATATTTTTCTACTCAATTTTATTCAACATACAATAAATTAGAATTAGCTCGCACAATTTGTTTCTTCTAATTTGTAACTCTCATCACTTCTTATCTTCTAAATACTCATTTTCTTATCGTCTTCCACTTTATCTTAAAT